ATATATATATAATATAAATTTGATCCTTCCTTCCTTATACGTCCTTTTCTCCATGAAATGCTGCCAATGCTCCAGAGCTGCCATAAGCTGTTATAACGTATTGGGTGATGGTGCTTGTTATAGATTCTGTGCTAAGTGGCGTTAATACTATAATATATATACTTATATTGCACTCTGTGGTGTTTATATTTCGAGCAGGATGTTACAAAGAAAACTTTTGTTTTAATGTCCTAATATTTAAAAGTTCAAAGTGTTTGTTTCGAGGTTAAAAGCAAAGCAAAGATTTAATTTTTGAGGAAGGTTTTATCATTCATCAAATACGTCCATTCAAATACAATTCATTAAAAGGACTTCTTGTCTGGAATATCCACATTTTTACTCAAATAAATGCAAAATAGATCATTAGGTTTATTGTTATATAAAACTTATTTATGCCTATCATTTGGTGGATAATGAAGGTGAGTGCGGGGGCGATATTATCCAATCGGCTTTAATTTTTAATGATCCAAAGTCTAATACGCTTTTAAATACTGTTAAAGGTTTGGAATTGTTGTGTACATTGTCTACACATCGTGGAGTATGAAAATGTAAAATGTTCTCCTTTTTATTGAAATGTCCTCCCTTCTTAAGTAAAATGTCTTCCGTTGGGGGAAAAAATTCTGGTAACCCCGATAAACGTCACAATAGTGACACGTTCATCGTATCTACTGTTCGTACGTACTCCACGCCGTAGTGCCGTTCCTTACTCTCTATATTTTACTATAAGTCACAAATAAATTTTAACAATTTCATTATCTTCAACTGGGTACCTGATATTGTCGAATGTTACTTTTGAATCACTTCAAAAGGCGAAGGTCAGCGTGGTTCAAATGAAGTGGGAACTTCTTTGTAGATGTACATTTGAAAAAAATCGCAACACTTGTTGATGACGAAAGTTTAGTTCACTTTTTACTGTGATAACCGGCGGAGAGAATAAAATTAAGTACATCAGTTCTCTGTTCATGCAAGCCGTAGAAGTACTAAAATTAAAGAGAATAACTTTAAAATTCTTGATCTGTGGTGCACAAAAAGAAGACGACGCTGGCCATTCAGTTATTGAAAACAAAAAGTGGTCCAATTAACATTCTTCTACGCGACTCTCATCAGAACCGCCAAAAAAGAACGTCTTGTTTGCCGTGATTATATAGTTCTCTGTTGTTTTTTAGATCTAAAACGTCAGAACGGGGAAATGGATTGTGCTAAGATTTTAAAAGATCGTAAAGAAAAATACTCTTGAAGCTTCTAAAATAAAAATGTTAAGATTTAATAAATCAAAACTTCCATTCAGCTTTAAATACTCTTACGAACAGTTAGAATTTTTCGAAGTTGGAATCAGATCTAGTGGTACAAGAGGACTTTTTTTTCTTTACACAAAGCGAACTCGAGACCATTCGCTTTAACCGAACGGATGAAACAAGATTGCTTGTCTCTTATCACTTCCTAACACAGTCCATAAACGTATGTAGAGGTTTTTTTGTTGTTGTTTTTTGCTACATGTAACATTAAGAGTGTATAGAGCTGACTGACTTGCTAGTTATTTATTTTTTTAAATCTATTTTTTGTACGTGTTAATTTCCGTAGCAATATTGAAATATTAAAAATTATTTTTGATGTGAAATAAACTTGAAAAGATTTAAACATTTTTTTAGTATTGTCATTCCTGGATATTCTAGTGTGAGTGAAATCTTATCTTTATCATTCCTCCCCTAATGTGAGTCTGAAGTGGATTCTTATCTTTATACAAACCAATATAATTATGTTATAGTGTTGTGAGTCAGGTAAAGCTGAATTTTTTATGTATAATTTTGAGAGTGGAAATTTCTTGTATTGTGCCACAAAAAAAAAGTCTTAACTCAAAATAGGGTTATTTTTTGGATGTTGAGGGGGCTAAATCAATTTTTTGTTCTTTCAATTTATATACATCCTTATTCTTAAATGTTGTATATTTTTATATATGCCATTACACCTGCATTCAAAGTTTAATCCTGTGTGTTTGTAGTGCAGAGTGAAACCGATAACTTTCTTTTGCTTCTCCTGTAAAATTTAGTTTTTGAGTTGGGTCACTTTTCTTGCGGGTGAGCGAAGTGGGACTGGTAACAGATTTTTTAACATAATTATTTTTTATTCTCATCATCACACGTCAGCGTAGACCAAGTAAGAGGTTGGAAATTTATGATACTTTGAAGTATAGGTAAAAAAAATCATTTTTCACGTCCTTGTATTCTTATCATCAACTCTTAAAAATCCTATCGATTGAAAAGTGGGCATTTAAATGGAAATGACAGAACTACGCTCCGGGTCGAGAGTATTGCAAATTATAAAATTAATAACTTGTTAGTTAAAAGACAAAAACCTTAGTTAAATGGCTTATTTCAGAAACAACGTCAGTGAAAAATAACTTTTCAGATTCGACAAAAAATCCATCTGAGGCCATCACAAACTGGGAGTCATGTTTTAGATCTGTTCTATAAACCGTCTAGAATTGCTTGAATTATGCTAGATCTGCCTCAAACAATGCGTGTACTTACTGAGAAAGTGAACGCACTATGCAAAACCTGCCTTATGTTGTTTCTGAAATAAATCGTTCATTACTGCAAATGGAGAGAGGCACAGCGAGATTGTGAGGTTGACGCGAAGGGCACCGGTATTGAAATTGAAAACTAAACATAGATAGGATCGGGACATACAAGTCTTCCGTTCCCCAAATAGTTCAAATTGGCACAACTGACGATCAGGCTATCGTCAGGCTCGGTGTCGGTAAGCTCGATCGTCGGCAGTGCCTTGATGTTCCTTATTATTTAAGTTTTAAATGATTTATAAATATAGTAGGAAGCTCGTTCCCAAATCATTTGTGAAATACCCTAAAATTGCCTATTAGAGGTTTTTAGCCGATACTCCCCGAAGACTGTACTCTTTAACATGACATGCGTCTGTCTGGCTGGCCATCTGGCCGATAGTCCGTCCGTCCGTGCACAACACTAGCGCATATACCGTTCAGTCGATTTTCACCAAAATGGATAATTCCCAATCGTTTAGCTGAGGTCGCGAGCTGGAATTTGAAACCGATATTTTAATTTTTGTGGGTTTTTACTTAAAGTTCTTGGAACTTTTTCAAAAAATCGCTTCAATTTTTTTAATTAAATCTTGTTGTTGAATAGTGCAAAGACGTTTAAGAGAATGGTGCAGGCCTCTTTTTTGTTGACATCACCGATTTTTAAAATAAAAATATTTAAAACTACAAAATTGGAGATAGAGATTTTTGCCTGTGATAAAGATTTCTGTTGTACAAAATTAGCTCTTCAAAAAAAATCATGTAAATTTTTTGGAAAAACGAATAGTTTTTCCGTAATTTCTGCTTGAAATTAATGAAATATACACAGATTTCATACCATTACACACCGCCTTTCATTTAGGGCAAAAATGGTGCTTGTAAGAAGAATTGATAAGAAAATATGTGCCCATTGTTGGCAGCGCCTATCGCTGCATGCGCGCTTTGTCAGCGCTCATCGACTGAGATGTGTTGATATAGACAGAAATGCGGTATAATATTACTAAGGGGCAAGAAAGTATGTGCTGTTTTAACACCACTAGTTTGCTCTCGTGGTAATAAACGTGCACGTTTTCTTGAGCCCTGAAAGACTCACCCCCACTCCTTTACTTAGTTGAATGCAGAATAGATTATTTCAAGGAGCGTCGTTGGCGTAATCTGATATCCAGAAGTGCTCACTTCCGTGTATTTTACATTGAAAACGAGCTACAGATTTGATATAATAGACCTGTCGTCCTATTAATCAAGCACTCACTTTTCTTTCATCTTGTGAAACGAGGACAACACATATCCATTATATGTTTAGTTACTTGCATCTAACGTGATATATCTCTTTCTCATCTAAAATGCTTAATTTTTCTTCAGAGCACACGAGTAATTTCTTGAAACAACATTCTGAAGTATTTTTGTTTTCCGAAAATATTTTTTTTATGGAAAATCTCAATGTCCCTGGCCAATACGTGAAGACAACAAACTTATAAACATTACTCACTCTTGATTTTCTCTCTCTCCCTTCTGCCACGATATTTTCGAAGGCGCGCAAGACGACGCGACGGTTGCAAGAAGTCCCAAGGGTGAACACGTGAACTTCCCTTTGCTACCCTTCCCTTGTCAACGCGACTGGGCAGTCTCGCTGTGACCCGTGCATAATCGTATTCTCGAGAGAGAAGAGACGGCACGGCTTCAAGAAGTAACAAACGGATTTCTGATTGGTGCATCCTATTCGCGCGGTTGCGTAAAATCAGCGGGAAATACCCGAACGCTGAGGAACACAGTTCGCCGTTTGCGAGGAGTAAAGTGTGGTGGTCAGAACGAAGAGTAGTGAGGCTTTGGAGAATAAAGTAAATTAGTCGTTCTTGATATTTCAAATAGGAAAGGTCGTAAAACTTGCTACGTTGATTTTTCATTTTGCGAGTAATCCGGAAATGTTGGAAAATATGAGTTAATAATAATTTAATTAATTGTTATTGCAGATTTCAAACCAGAAGACCTTCGATCAGTGATGAAGTCTATTACAATGAAAATAAGTCTCCTGTCAGAACTTGATACTTACTGTCCAGGAGATGTTGTGAAGGGCTCAGTAAATCTCAGTATATCACATGAAGTTATTATAAGTCGTAAGTTGTAGATTAAAAAAATTACGGATAATTATTACAGTTCGTAAATATACCATATATTTTACTTTTTTCAGGTGTTTCTGTGAAATTAATTGGGGTAGCTGTGATAAATTATAAAGGAAAAGATCCTCCAGATCAGGAATTAGCCCTTCTGAAAAAGGAAACGTATGTAGAAGATGAAAAATACCTTTACAGCTCACAAGGTATATTTTTAGTTCATATTTGAGATCATTGAATAATGTTTAAATGTATTTAACTTGATGTATGGTTTTCAGATGGGAATCTTCAGGATTTATTTACAGAAGCTGGAAATCATGAATTGCCATTTACTTTTGTTCTGCCTGATAGTATACCATCATCTTTTGAATCAAAAGAATGTTATATTAGATACACCATTTCTTCATCACTTGAAGGTGCAAAACTTCCTCTACTTTCCGAGAAAGTTATCATTTCCGTGAATGCACCTTTGGATCTTAATAATATCCCTAAATCACAGGTAAATATGTATTCAATCAATCCTCTTGTTAGTTTCAGTTAGATTGTCAAAATGTGTGAAGATAAATTCATATTGCTATAGTTTACATATTTATATAACAAAAAAATTAAAAAAAGGTATGTGAAGTATAGGGAAATAAGTGTCTTACAATCCCCATGGGTTTGAAAGTTATCTTTTTCTCAATACTATGTATTTTCATTCTTATTTCTTCATTTTCTCATGTAAAATTTTCTAATAGTAATTCCCCTTCTTTTGAGTGTAAAAAATAATTATTTCATCTGAAGCTTACATTTTGTCTTTTCATTCTATTAAGTACCCTTCAACCGCTATAATAGATCAGAAAAATAACACATGGTGCTGGTGTGCAAAGACTACACTTCATGCAGGAGTTCACACCTCACGAAGAGGGTATGTTCCAGGAGAAATTATAATATTAAATGCTGAAATTAACAATTTGGATTCCAAACCTGTGGTTTCTGTTAGGGCTCAGCTAATTCAGGTAATTTGATATCTTTTTCTGTATTTTGGTTTTGGTAGTCATTTTTAATCTTAAATTTAGTATAAATTTTCTCAAGTTAAAAATTTAATAATGGTTTAGTTTCTTAGAACATCTCATACCTGTTCAAGGTATGTATCTTTTCTAATTAAAAACACTAGAAATAATGATGGAGGAGGAAACATGTAAATATTACAAAAATGCCTGCAGTTAAAACTAATATATAGAATAATGCGTATTAAATCCTGCTGTAATAATAAACTGTAATATGCTTTTTTCCCATGTATAAATTGCTTTGAACTTTTCTAAGTAAAGATTTTAATTAACAGAATTATTTGAAGACAGACTTTAAAAGATAGAAAGGGGTGTCAAAAAGAACAAATAACAAAGCTTTGGAACCTTCTTTCATTAATTCTTTGAAATGGAGATGACCCATTAACAGTCCACATACCCAATGCAAAATTAAATTTATTTTTTTTTCCTGCAGGAATCTCAAGAAAAAAATGTCAAATTTTTAAGCCAATTGTAAGTCTTGTAGTATGATACAAAATAGATTTTATTAATCTAAAAGTTTTCTGTGTGAATTATATTTTTCTTTTCAATGGCAAAACTGAAAGAATGTGAAAACAGATAGAGATTGACATATCATAGACTTACAAACAGGTGGCAACCCTGACATCTTGCATCTAATTATTTTCTGGACTTACCCCCAATATGTCCATGCAAAAGCATGGTGTTGCATTTTTTTTAGTGGTGAGGTATTAGTGTGGTGTGGTCTTTGTAGTTTTTAGTGATTTATCCTAGTAAATGAGATAGTTCTACACAAGTAACTCTCCTTTTTCAATCTTATTCTAAATTCTGTAAAGAAAACATTACAATTCCTGCTACCCTTTTATTGAAAACAAAATTTAAAATTCAGTAATTTTGAAGACTGAAATTCATTGATCAAGTCTTAAGATCTTGTCTCTTGCTCATTAACCCACTTGACATCCTCTTGCTTTCTGAGATCATCAGATTATTTGAAAAGAAGAGGAGTAATTGATTGTTTTAAGTTTATGTTATGTTTTCATCTTTTAAATCTCTAAGGTAATGACTCCTGATGTAAAAATTATTAATTGTTATAATTCTATATTTGGTTAACTTTACATGAAAGAAATCTAGATTAGATTAAAAACTACCTGAGATCAATATATAAGAAATAATTTATTTTGAAAATACACGCCTCCTAATAAAGTTTCTAGAATTATTTAAATAACACAGACCTTCAAAATTTAGGTGATGAAAAATTGTTTGAGAAATTTAATTTGTAGTTTTAAGAATTTGGTATGCTGATTTCAAAAACAATCTCCATTCTTTTCTATCATGTAACATTTTTCCACAAAATGTATTTGAGTGTATGGGAAAATAATAAATAAATTCAGGTGTTATAGAAACATATTTGCGAATGAAAATTAAATGGATTGTATGCAAAATTTTATGTGAAGATAATAACTTCAATTCGCCAACTTTATACATTGCGGAACTGTTTTCATTTCTTATCAAATCTCCGTTTGTCACTTCTCCTTTTGTATGACCCTTGTGGTACTTCTCTCTGTAGCATCCAAAAGTAGTCCGCAATCATACTCGTGCCCCTTCTACCCTGGTATCTGCATCTGGTTCTCCCTGTTCTTCCCTAAGAGCACCAACATTTTTGGGAAAGTAGTCCAAATGAGAATATAGGGAAATTTCAGGCACATTGACCAGCCCATCTTTGAATTTCATTAACATATTGTTCACTAAGGGCTTAAAATTAGTGTGCTTTTAATTTCCAAGAACTTTCTGCTCATCTCTGAATGCTTACCAAGCCTCTCTCTAAAAAATTTCCATTTCAGTTTCAAATACTTAATCTTTAAAGAGTTTCCAAACATCAGGACTAATGAAAACGCCTTTTTAGCTTCTAAGAGTTCTGGAAATTTGCTGCGCAAGTATTAAAAACGCCCTTCATCTTGTGGCAAGTCCTTTACAAATCATTTCTTTTGTCCGAGCTTTCTATGAAGTCATGGAAGGAGGATGATCCAGAGCTGAACCCTATTTCTGCTATTTCATAAACACAAGAAGAAGGGGAATTTAGTGTAGCCCCCCTACTGTCCAAGAAGTATGCTTATTACTTTAAGATAGCCACATATCATTGTATTTCAGTTTAGAGAGGATTTATGCTAATTTCTCATAGTTTTCTTTTATAAGCACAGTTTTTCTACTGAAGCGTACTTGTTGCCATTGTGAATAAGTATTGTTTTGAAACTTCTTTTTGATGAATCAATAAACAGCCTCCACTCTATCATGCCATCCTGTACTTTTAACTCATCAACAGTCCATTGATATCACTGCAGTCAACCTGATAATTTTCTTATGAGAAGAAAGGTGTAAAATTTCTTTCTCTATGTCTAGACCATGAGAAAGAGGTTCCAGGAGCCAATAAGTTTTTCCTTTTAACCTAGAACCCAAAGGTTCTGCTGAATCTTTAGAAAGACCTAAGACTCTAACCAAGTCATTTAGTGCTAGTTGTGAAAATAAGTTGGACTCTGCATTGCCTGAACTATGAATTCTTCATCACAATTTTCAGATTTGTGAATATCATCAGGTACATTTTCTACTTTCTAAGAGTGATGGTACAGGAATGTCTGGTCGATGAGGTCTAGGGTATGTTGGAGACTGAATGTTAAGATAAACAATTTTTCTTATTTTTAAATTGTACCTAACTACATTACGTGAGCAGAAGTAGGTCTGTACTGTGATTTGTGGGCTCCATCCATAACATTGGATCCTCAAAACAGAAAGATTTCGCCTTTACTTGAGACCATTGTTAGAATTCTTTCAGACAGCATGCCATATGTGGAGCCCAGAAGTTCAAGTTCAAAGTGAACAACAATTTTACTATAACAATCTAATTTGCTTTAAGTAAGAATTCTTCAAAGTTGGACAACCAAGAACAGTACCAATGGCATGATAGAATATTGTATTTATTTTCTGAACCTTATGATTAAAATACTAATTTATGCAAAAGTGATAGGTAATGGAATTTTTTCATAATATTTTTTTCTGAACTCAGAACACCTAAATCTGTATAAATCAGCTATAACTTTGCAGACGATTTTTCAGGTGCTGGCTTGTGCTATTGGTTGACTTGCTGAAAACATTAGTACTCAAACTAATAATTCTCAATTATGAAAAATCATATTTTATATTTCAATCTTTTGTTCAAACATTTCACAATTTTTTAATTTTTTTTTTCTTAAGATCATAAAGTATTATCACAAGGCTTGGCCTCGTAAAACAAAGCGCATGGCCTCAGAAATCACAAGAGGATATATTCTTCCCAATGAATCTCAGTATTGGATGGGGGAGACTTTAATTGTTCCAGCTTTGGTCTCATCATACATGAAATACTGCAATCTAATTGACATCAAATATAAAATATATGTAAGTATGATAAAATGCTTTCCATTTCCTTATGCTCCATTTCTTATAATACGGTCTTAATTGATCACTTTGATATTTCAAATTAATTTTATTATAAATTGCAAACATTTAAAGATGTCAGACTACAGTTGTACTGAAATACTCCGGTAATGCTATAAGATAAAGTTTCAGCTGGGAAAACTTCCATCATTGTCAAATATTTTTACATATATGTTAGAAAAAGACGTAATATCACTAGTCGTGTAGTTCAATTTATTGGAAGGAAAGTTCAGACAAATTTGAAGTATTGCACTTGAACTTATTATTTTTTTCAAATAAGACATTTTCAAAATTTACACCAAATTACTCCATATCTTTTCTTTAAATTTCTTGTAAGAATAGAATTTTATATTACATGGATTGGAATTTCATTGTTAATTCTGAATTTTCAAAAATTGCAAATTTGTAATTTTGAGTTAAATTTGGACAATATTGAAAACAGTTTTTTTCTGAAACGGCTCCAAATTTTTTCTTCTAACTGTTTTTATGGATATTGCTAAATGCACTGAATAATATGACATGTATGTTATTTGATGCATTTTTTTGATATTTCAAAAATTTCACAAGTATAATTTTTTTAAAATATCTCTCACTATTGAAGTTTACATTATTGCATTTGTGAGTACAAGTGCATCAAATGATTTCTTACAAAGTTTTTCAAAAATTCAAAAGCTTCTGTGAAAATTAGCTCAAAATTGTTCATATTCTAAAACTGTCAAATGGCATTTTCTCAAAACATCCAAATTTTGTCATGAAGAATAGGTTTTGCATATAAAACGGGTATTACCTTTCTATAATATTCTTGGTAATATTTCAATTCTACCATTAGGGGATTAAACCATTGAGAAAATGTGAAAGCTACTGGTGTTACATAGTGGCACAGGCTTTCTTGTATAAGTTTTCTAATTTCTTGGTCTAGGCTAGCTTTTAGGTTTTGCCAAATCCTTTTCCCAGCTGCCATCTATTGCCACCCAAAATACATTTTTCACATTTCCTCAATTCAATCTATTAGGGATTAGTAGAACTGGAATATGACTTTAAAAATATTATAAAGAGTAAAACCACACCCTTAATGAAAATTTTCGTTGACAAATTTGGATTCGTTTTAAAAAATGACTTTTAAGTGTTTTTGAAAATGCAAAATTTGAAACTTTGCACTTCTTTCACAACCTTCACTTCATACAAATTTCTGCACTTCTACTTTCAAATGCAATAAAGTATACAAATGTTATGTAAATGTTAATGGCATGTTAAATTGTAATTGTAGTATGTTTGTGTTGTAAATGTAAATGTTTAAATTATTGAAAAAAATACTGTGTGTAATTTTTGAAAAAACAAAAGACTACATCTAAGTGTCATGAAATCATGTTATTCAGTTCATTTAGCACTATCTGTTGCGAGAAATATAAGAAAAAAATTGGAGTTGTATTCAAAAAGAATTGTGAGTTTCTGAAAATGTGAAATTTGAAGCTTGTTTTTATAGAAAAGTAATGAGTTTTTGAGAAACTTTGACATCATGACATCATTTAAAGAACTTTTACTCACAAATGCAATACATTTTTAAAAATGCTTCCATTGTAAATATAAATAACATATTTTTTAAAACAAAAGAATACAGAAACATTTCTCTGAGAGGGAAAGAATACAATAATAATTGTAAATGACCATATATGAGATGTGTATTGAGAGGCCAACAATCTCTAGATTTAAGGTTTTTCCACATGGCCCAATCTCATTTCCAGCTTCCCTTACACTTTGACTGTTTATTGTTGGTTTCTGTAATTATTTGGATGAATATATTCACATTTCATTTAAGAGTTATTGAGCAGACTGTAGTGGGATTGTGTAATTGACATTTAAAATTTTGTGAGTGCTTTGTGTGAAATAAATGATTGGTCAGTTGTGGGTTTGTTTAAAAGAATGTTGTTTTTGCTAATGTTGATGATGTGAAAAATAAACATTTTGAGTTTTTAATTACAAGACAATTTTGATTGGCCCCATTGTTCAGCATATTACAATCACCTTTAGAAATTACATTGGACTTACTATATGTACTGTAATGCTAACTATTTAAAAATATATTGAAAAAAACAGAATTGAAGATTCCTTCCTTCAATATTGACTTCAATTATTATTTAAAATATGTCAAGCTTTATGTAAAGTACTAAGAAAGAAGAAATCATCAATAGATTTCAGTGCCAAGATTACCCTACTACCATTAAATCAATGTCAGCAAAAGTGGAAATTACTGGGTTTGAACCTAGTTTTCTCATGTACAAAAATTTAATTATGTGTTTTTGAATGAAATAATTGAAGTCATCTCAATAAATTTAGATTTCTGTCTTCTTCGATCTTCCTAAAGTTTTCCCTACAATTAAAACAATCACAGTGGTGGCTATATGACCAAGTTGTTAAGAAGCGATCAAAAAAACTGCAACAAAAACAAAAAAAATACTGTTCTAAAATTCTAAAATGTTATTAAAAACATAAATCATGGGAATGCGGACGGGGTATTGTTGACATTCTTAAAGGGTGGAGTAATTGAAGTTATTTCAATAAATATAGATTTCTCGCTTTCAATGGCTTTGCTGTCATAATTAGTCTTGCTTCATTTGGCAGAATGCAGGAGATTGTTCTCTTTCAAGAGCCAGTTATTAGAAAATATCTAAGTTGACAACTATGATTTCAATTATTTCATCCTTTAGGAAGAACACTGAAGTACAACACACCCACACACACAAACATCCATGCCGAGACAGGATTCGAACCCATGATCCTTGAGCCGAGGAAGATGCAGCTCTTCAGGCTTAGCGCCTTGGCCATCCAGGCCGGCCCTATGATTTTTATTCTTTGAGATTCATGTAGAGAAATGTTAGGATTCTCTCATATATTATTTCAATAGTATAATTGTTTTGTGACTCTCACATGCAACCAATCTTAATAAATGAGGTCCCTAGCAAAAGAATAAAGAAAGAGAATTTCACAGAGATGTGACGAATTGTACTTTGACTTTAAAAATATGAAGGATTTATTGAAAATACAGTTCCAGTACTCGGGCAGCATATTTATAATCTATGTAGTTTAATAACTCCTAAACGAAGCATAATAGGTCTTTAAAACCTTAAAATGTCATATATTATTGCCAGGCAATAAACAATTGTGGTAAACAATTTGGCAAGGTGAGGTCAGAAGTTGAAGTAAGGACATACTGGTAATATTTGGCAGGTATTGGGTCTGAAGAACAAAGAAAATCTTTAGTTGTTTTTCCCACATTGTTAAAACTAGTAGTGCTACCAAAGCACACACTTAATCACATTATTTGAAACTTTTGCTGTTCAAGAAAATTCTGAGAGCTCAATGAGAGTTAAAATGTCCATCGTATCTTGCTCTATTGGAGAAAAAAGTTAAAGAACAAATTTAGAGGTGTTTTGGTGCAAAGGTTTTTGAAAACTGTCTTTAATGAAGCACAAATTATGCAAAAACTATTACATCAAAAAAAGTATGCATGACAGTGCTTAATGATCTATTGATTTAAAACTGTTTTCATGAAGAATAAAAGCTCTTATCAAATATTCTGGTTTTGCAGTAATAATTTTTTTGCAAATCTGGAGAGTTAATCGAAAATGGGACCTGCCACCTTTTTTTTAAAGTGTTTTTTGCTCTATCTAGAAAACAAAAATTAAAAATGTTCATCCAAAAATCAGATTTAATGTTTGAAAATCGAGGGTTCATCACAGCTAGAACAAATGGAGAATTTAAATTTTGATGAAAATCCTGTCAATGGTTTAGCTGCTTGTGTTGATCATGAATAAACAATATCCCTAGCATACATTTCAAAATTCTATTGACTGCATTAGTAGCAGTATTAAAAAAGAATTGCATTGAGAGTTTCTGAAAATGTGAAATTTGGGGAAATGTGAATTTCTCATAATTCTCCTCACAATTGAGAGCGTAGGCTTCCCCGGCCAGAGTCAGTATTTACTAGGCTAGTTACAGGGCGTAATGCCCTGAGGAAGGTCGCAGAATGGCGACCGAAACGTCAGCACCTCCGCCATAGACACGGTGTCACTCGGACAGCCTAGTAAATACTCCTCACAATTGCTTTTGTGAGGTCTATGAATATGGTCACACAAGTGTTGTTGAATTTTATCAGTCAGTTGTGTCTTCAGTATACCTTTTTTTGAAACCATATTGTTGGATATTTATTATCTCACACATTGCTCAAACTATTTTAATGGTAACTTTTCAAGTATTTTCCAAATATTTGTACAAAATTTGAAATGAAGGAAATTGTACAATAATCCTCTTGGATTATCAGTCTCACAGTTTGTAAGCAATGGAAAAACTTCAGCTTTTTCAAAGTGATTAGGGACTGTTCCAATATCTACAATTTTATTGATTACTGACATTTAAAGCTAATTGTTCACATTTCACTGTAAGCGAAATGTCCTTAAATGACATTGAACGATACATGAGGCTTTTTGAAAATCTAACAGATTGGCTTTATTTGGATGCTTTATTGCACCATATCTGTCATTTAATTGTTGGGACTTTAAAAAGTTTTTCTTACTTCTTAGATACTATGTCAACTACGAATTCATTCAGATAATTAATTATGCCGGTGCCTTACAGTATTTTGAATAGTTTTATTTTTCCTCAATTTTTGATTTTTTTTTATTAATTTATTGTAATGTATTCCAACTTTATGACTAATCCTTTTTTATGGGTATGGCTTTTAAGATTTTCATTAATTGAAAAAAAAAGATTTTTAACTTTTCAAGGTTTAACAGAATTCATTAATGTTAATCTGTTTGCTTAATTTTTACTTTCTCTCATACTGCTTCTAAAGTATAGAGAAATGATCGTAAGATTACAGGAAAAAGCATTGATTTTTCAAAGTAAAACTTGTTTTCTAGGTCCCTGACACTGAGAAAGTGGAAAATTCTTGTTCCCATGTAATAACTGAATCTAACTCATGTAGTTAGAATCCAAGTTTTGAGCATTCTTGATAAAAAATTAAATTGGTTTGCTGCAAAACATCTGCTTCCTCTTGGTATGGCAACAATGCTGAAGGTTAAACCATACGCAGGGTTTTCATAAAAATTGATATTCCATAAATGATGTGGCTGATATTACGGTTCCTTGAATTTGAAACAAATATTTTGGAAAATTTTTTAAATTTTCTAAAAATGGCTCCAAAGTTTTTCTTGAATAATAAAATCTGCTTAAAAGATGTTGCAATACAGTATGTGCTGTTGAACAATGTTCTTCCTGTATTTAAAATTTAAAAAAATTAATCTGAAGATTCTTGTATTCATTTTATGAATTTATTCATGATTGCATCATTAACAACTGCTGTATATACATCATTAAAAAGTTTACTTTCAGGGGTAGGTATTTCAAAATTAAGTCCAGTCATAATTGTTTGCAGTATTTTAAAGAGACAGACATATCACACACACTGCTTTGTGATGTGAAGAAACAAAGTTTTCTAGAATATTTTTCTTTCCATTAGTGTGTTGAACTGAAATCACATATGTAAAACAAGAGCATTTACACCACATAATCTATAATTTCATTAAGAAATTGCTTCAGTCAGAGTATTGTTTTCCTTTTCCTTGAGTATTTGACATTTTTAAACAGGAGAATCTAAACTAACTGTTTTTTTATATAGTAAAGATTTATTACTTGTTTCCTGTAATACATCATCATTCCCTATGTTTTGTTGATAACAAGTTGAGGCCTTGGCTTACTAGTGATTGAGAACACCAGTAAAAGCATTGCTGCAAATACAATATTTCTTGCAAACCCACTGCCATTAGCCATTACCCCCAAGTTGCCGAGACCCAATCATGCAAACTCATAGAGAACGAAAATGATTACTGCTGAGAATTACAATCTTAATATTGCAACGTTTTTGCATTGACAATAGACAGTTTTTTGCACTGCTAAATGCAATGACTAATCCCATTATAAACAACTGTCTAATGTGAATTGTGGGTCATAACCAGAAGGTTTATTTCCAAATTATACAATTTGTTCACTCGTACTTCATAATCAGTTTTTTCTTTTATTTGATTACCAACTAAAATGATTCTTGTTTTGACAAGTCTATTTTGGAGTTAAATGTAAAAGATTTTGAGAAAGACTACTTCCGAACTATTCATGTGATAAGAAGTGTGTTAGAGAAAATGTCACTCAATGTTTTACGTTGTATGGGCTTTTTTATTTTTTAGTTTCGAATTGCCAAAGCTGGAGTGCCTGAAATTATAATGAAATTGCCAATTATAATTGGTAATGTTCCTTTGATGGGATGTGTTGATGTTCTTTCTGATACTATTGACGCAGAGGAACGATCCATTGCAACCCTTGAAAGAGGTATTTATCAGCTTATTTTAACATTCCAGAAATATGTTTGTATTTTAAATTTAAAATACAAAACAATAGAACGTAAATATATCAACTGTGATATTCTTTCATTAACATAAATTGCTCTCTTACTAAATATATAATCCAGAGATTTACATTCTGTTGCTTCAATCTTCTCTCTGTGAAGCTTGATAGATATTTGCTGAAACTTTTAGAGGTCTGTGTTTTGTGCAAAAATAGTAATTCTTGAAAATCTAACTTAATAGCAAAACTAATTCTCAGCATAGAAATATTGCAGCTAAAATATCTTGCATCTTTCCTTTCACTTTTCAAGGTTCTCCATTATTAAATATGATCTCGCTTAGTTTCTGCGACAAGATACTTGCCAAACCTAGTTATATCATAATGAATCTGAAAAAGCTTTCTAAGTGTGTATGTAATACAGATTTCTAAACTATACTAATGTAATTAATAAAAAAAAAGTTATTTTTGTATAGTATTTATTTTTTTCCCTAATTGTAATTGATACACTTTGCAGAGTTTGAGTTATGAGATAATTTTTGAGAACCAATTCCTTATATAATGTGAGGGCTAACTGTTTGTTTATAAGTAATATTTTCATTTCATTAACCTTATGAACCTATGACACAGTAGTGTGCTGCTAAAGTTTTGTTAGCACAACCTAGACTTTAACCATTCTTGGAAAAAATTTTCAATTGTATTTATAGCTATTGGACTTAAAAAACATTTATCATAAGACAAAATCTTGTCACGCCAAAATGTATCACAGTATTGGTTGATTCAAATGGTCTTTTTTCATATACCCGATGTTTGGCCTATTTGAGAACAAACGTTAAGGTTTGAGTGACACTTGGTGGCTTTTCAAACTTTTTTAAACTTGAATTACTAAAAAATTGTACAGGTGAAAGATCATTTAGTAAACTTATAAGGGTTAAAAATAAGAATCGAGCTCCTATGGGAAAAGACAAACTCAATTCGCTAACAATAAGACTTGGTGAAAATGATAAGCTCTAAGCTTTTAGCTCCTCTTGCAAAGAGTACTTTCTTGTGCAATAGAGTATCAGTGTTAATGTTGTAATGTAATGTAATTTCTTGAAATTTCTAAACATCCTAATTCCTAAGGATAAACGACGGATAGGAAAGGAGAGAAGTAAATTTATTACCACACTTTTTATTACTTTATATTAGAAAAACATTAATTAGCTTTGTTAATATTTTTGCTAATAAATGGGATCTTAATTATGAGCAGGCTCCTGATAAGGATATCCCTTAATAATCATTGACCCCCTTCAAAGTTTAATTGACCCTCAGGGAGTCAATTATTTTATTCAAATTTAAAAACTGATAACAATAATTTAAAGGCATGTTTTAATTGTTTAATTACGAGTGAAAAGGTTAAAATATCCAATGTAAAAGAAAGTTATTGTTGACATTAAAAAGGGGGTCCTCAAAAATATTTTAGTTTGAGCCTCGAAATGGAAAATCCGCCTCTGGCATCTTACCAAGGAGCAAATGTGTTAGTGCTAAGTATTTGACATGAAAGGCAACTAAAATTATCCTAGATTCCAAAAATTGCAAAATTCCAGAGCATCTTTGTCTAAATACTTGCACCAAAGTCAACTCGCTTCTCTTAGACAGTGAAAGTCAAGTCATTATTTGATGTAGATCAAATAATTTTAGGCTAAAAACACAATGTTGCTACTCTCTCCACTCCTTGCTCACAAACTGAGTAGCCAAGTTAACACATTAAGGGTCGCAACTCTGGGGGAATGAAAAGTATCTATGATTGTTGACGCTTTGAAATGACATTTTTGTGTATCTACAAGTTTTTAACTTGAAAACTAATAGTTTTTGACAAAAAGGGCGTCCTGTTTTTGGGATTTTGACCTGGGCCCATATCTGTTAACCAGTAATAATGTCTATTCTATTGGAAATGTAATTACTATCTTTGTTACATATTTGTGTATAAAAGTTTGTTTATAAAAGGAAAATTGTTATAATAATGCATTTTCATTTAAAACTAGTTTCTACACAAAAACTAAAGAGACGTTGAAACAATAAAACCTAACCAATCGACAGTGCAAGACAGGTGTGTTTCAGTGTAGGTTGGAAGTTGTTACTGCCAAGAGAGCTGAATTATTCTGATGTTCTCTTACATCTTGTAATTCTCTGTTTTCAAAATAATATTTGGAGTTTCATCAGCCAGTTGATAAGGAATAATGGACATGCTAAAATCATTTTCCTCAAAATATTCATATTTACTGACATCTAAACTAGCAATTTCATCAATCCTCTTTCCATGAATCATAGATTTTTTGATCAGTAATGATTTCTAACTATTTCATTTACTGTATGAATAAAATAACAAATAAAGTGTATAAACGTCGAAGAAGAATACATCATTAAATTATTATCTTAAGGCGTAAAATAGCTCAGCATTATGCATTTATGCACTACCTATAATAAGTTAGTTTCCTTGCATGACAGCACGGTGTATTGTGGGTAAGCTAACTATATCCAGCCAATCTCCAAAAAGTGGGATGCAATACATTATGCTCTCTGCAACTTACATCTAACTATCATATCATCAACTTACATATAACTAAGAATCAGTTGCAATCAACAATGAAATATAAGTTTATATTTCACACAAATAAGGAAAGTCACTTATAAGCACATACTCCCACCACCATGTCTCCGAGACGTTTTAATTTTACCAACACGAAAATTTTCCCAAAGTTCAAAAGAATGTTTTGGATAAACTAACATTTCCTCGTGAAAAGTCATTACATTGATATATCTTCTATTGTTTTGCAAAACTACCAAATATTCCATTTAGTTAAATTCAAAAAAGCATTCCAAAAATTGTGTAATATGTATAATAAATAAATAGTGTAAATTATGTTGATGTAATGGGTTGACTTTCAACCCACACCCTACAACCTTCAAATGGTGTATTCCACAAAACTAATTAACAATTCTCTTTGCAGCGACCAAGAACCATGAGCCATGCCACTTTGGTCCACATGATGTAACAGAATCCAACAGTGAGAACGTTCAAGACCAATGCTTATTCAGTCCCAGATACATAACTTACTCATCCTGAAAAGAACCTACATTACACATCATTTTGAACATCTATAATTCTGACGAGGTCAAATTGTATTGTCCAATGCAAGATTATTTATGTATCTTTTCAAGTGTTCAATAAAAATGTATTATGTACTTGCAGTTATTTTTATTAATTTCATGCATTTCAACACAAAATGTTATGATACACAAGATATTACAAAAACCAAGCATATTAAATTTCACCCTCAAAAAAGGTGACAAAAACATCGTTACTGAAGTATATAAAAATGAGTTCACTTGAATCGCACAACAGCTATGAATATCACATGTGTTTAAAATAAAGTTATCTCTTCCTATCATACTGCCATTTGTACACAGGAGGAGCACTTTTTGTTGCTGGTTTGACCCTTTCAGGAGCCATTTCCTTCTTGTTCTGGAGGTATCTTTTAATTGCAAGCTTTTCTTCAATTACTTGTAACTGCTTCTCTCTTTCGATTCTTCGACTGAGTTCCCTGTAGGCATTATCACGAGACATTGCAGCTCTTTCCAACTCAGGTTTAGTAACATTAGGAAGAGATAGTTGTTGAAGTGTAGATGTTTTTAATCTGTTTGTTCGACGCTTTAGAAGAGATGGATGAGTATCTAAATGTGTTGCCACATCAAACTGCTTAGCTTCTTTTGTTGAATCAACAAAGAAAATGTGTTTATTCTCTGTTTTGTTGGCTACATCAATTAAATGTAGTTGTGACTGCATTTTACTGATTTTCTTGGATTCAATGGTTCGTTTCATTCGAACATAACGTAAGTCCTGTGTCTGCATGAGGCTAATTTGCTCTGGAGTGTGCTCATCTTCTTTATCAAGTTCATGATGAACGCCATCCTCTACTTTTGAATTTATCATATGGAAGTAAAACTCATCGGGATTTCTATCAAGCGCTTTTCTCTTCAAAGCTAATATGGTATTCTTCTTGTTTTGAAAATTTTTGGCTCTTTCCTTGTAGTCCTTATGTTTTTCCAATAAACCCAAGTGGGCTCTGCTTTCTGGTTGGTGCCTCTCTTGATGAATTCGACGATGGCATTTCGCCGCACTCTTCCACGTCGCCATAATTCCTCAGATTTCAAACTGTAAGAAAAAACGAAATTAAACAAATCAATTTGGGTTAAACGTAAGAAAAAAATAAAAACTATCTTACCAATGGGATGAGCTATTTTACGTGGGTAAGCGCAAAAGTCTGCAACAATGGGAGACAAAGTCCTTGCGTAAAATCACACGTTCCAAAACAAAAATTGAACTAGTTTCACTGTGATAAATCAAATATTTCCAACCATAACCCCGCCACAAACCGATCTCATGTGGCACCAGTACGAGTGTACTGTCCGATTTAAAATGCGGTGTATGTTACTGATCATCAGCAGGACGCTGTTGTCCAATCGGAAGTTTCATGAAAATGTATTGTGAATATCAAAGCTCACGATTGGATAATCACGTCACAGCAGGGAGTCTGTCACATGTCTTTATATTTTAATCTGACAATAGAGGCTAGATCCCACTTGAGCAAACGGCGACACGAGCGCTATTGCGACGCTTTTAGGAGATATGACGAGCAGAATCGACTTGTAATGGCTTTGTATCGATACTTGTACGTTTTTCGATATGAATGACGACATCGATGTTTTAAATCTTTTGCCCACTTTTGCCTTAAATCACAGTCATCAATCTTCTAATCAATATATACAAAGTTCAAAATGCACAAATATTATACCACGTATAGAATCATAACAGTCATAATATAATATTAAAAAAACGCAAAAGATAATAAACCATTGGAAGATTTTTTGGACAAGAACATTTTTATGCTACTTAAAATATTCCTGTTCGATACACACACCTGTACTGAATATTATACGAAAAGCAGAGCTTGCTTCAAACAGATTCAACAGTTTACAGACCAAACGTTTTTCCTGATGGTATGCATTAAAAATCTGGACTGATGCAAATATTTGAAATAATTCTAGATTTCGAGCCGATTTCTAACTGCAAAAAGTCTGCACAAATTTTGTTTTGCTTATTTCAAAATTTTAAATATGAGTAAGTATTCAAATTTTTTGCTGCCCTGGTTCAATCCACCTATTAAACCAGGATCCTAATGGCATTGCATATGAATGAACAGTTCACTATTTAGATTAATGACTCAAATACTTAAACAATAAAGACGAGTACATGCAAATATATATTGAAGAAATAAAAGAAATAATTATTTTATGAAGGGAAAGAATTTTGCGGTTTATTCGGAGCAGTTTTTGCCATGTCAATTCGTAAATTATATAGAAATATCCTAAAAACCATAGATATCAATGTTTTGCTTTTCACCGGTCACAAGAAATAAACAGAGCAGTTCATAGGACAGTATTGAAGAAAACAAACAAACAAACATGAAAAAGTAATAGTCATCGTGAAACAGTTACACATTTTATTCAAGATGAAATGTAAATAAAGGAAATAATATTATCACTCACTTTGTGTTAAACAAATTCTGTTTCAGGGGAGAAAAGCATTCGTAAGATGCTTTGTTGCAAATATTGCACAGTTCAAAATATTAACTCAACAAAATTTAGCTCTTAAACATAACAATTGTAAAATAAAAATAAAAAAAAAAGTAATGTCAATCTTTTACAATTAATAGAAATGAAAATTGATAAATAATACAGATAACCATTATTACAAGATTTGTTTCATACAATAGTGAAGCACAGCCAATTGAAATTAAAGAACACTTTCTAGATTTCTGAAAAATTATTGATTCAAGAGTTGCTGCACTAACAAATTGATCCAATTTGATCCATAATTTATCGTTTAGCTGATCTTAATATAAATACTGAAAATATACCTGGTCAAGGGTATGAAAAATGTGGCAAAATATGAGAGGAAAAATGACAGCCTGCAGACTCCCATTTTAAATGTAAGTCCCAGATCTTTTATATTCCTTGTTGTGCTCATATCCTCAATTTAGTAATTAATTATGTTGCATTAAGTAATATTAATTTTAATATAGTACTTCTTTTTTATTATTCAAAACCTATTTGTGTTTTTTCACGCTTTTATGTTTTTAATGACTTCAACAAACTAACAGAAATGAGTAAATCAAACATAATAATAATATGTGTGGATCTAGAATTAAAACTGACTGATGAAACTGATACAGATAATCCAAGGGATATAAAAGCAATAGTACTTGCAGATGAACTAAATATAATCACAAAATTTCTCAAATCAATATCACCACCAACTGAAGTATTAGAATTTATGTATCAAAATAAACTGACAGGGCCATTCTCTAATATTACTTTGATATTACAAATTTGGTTAACTTTGCCAATTACAGTAACCAATGGAGAAGTATCATTTCTAAAATTAAAAATTATGAAGAACTTCCTATGATCAACCACATCACAAGAAAATTAACATATAAAGCAAAGATATCAAATGAAAGTGAAATCTGCAACAATATTGATTTGGAGCGTTTCATAAAAAATTAGCAAGCTTGAAAGTTCAGAAAGTTTTTTCTCTACAACCATTAAATAAAATTCATATTTCTGCTGCATATTTCATCAATGAATGACATTGATTACATGCCCTGTGGATTCCAGTTCCAAATCCATGGCCTGTTGACCAATCACATTCCTAGAATGTTCGAAAACCACAGGCAGAATTGCATTCTCATTGCAATTCGTGCTTCTTTTGAACTCTGATAGACAAGTGAATGATTTTGCAGTTGCATGCACATACATTCTTGTACTTGTATTTCTCATTACATTTCACATTGATAATTCGCGACAGTGACTATGAAATTTGTACTTTAGTTGAAATTTAGGAAAAAGCGAATTCAACAACTCTACAATTATTGCCAGAAATACGAGGAAGTTTTATGAACATTTATATACATTTATGGAATGGTGAAAAACTAATAGGATGAATTCCTTTAGAGAGAATGTTTTCTTGGCTTACTTTACAAAACTTTGTCCACATTATAAACCCTTTAGTTTATGGAAGATTTACTTAATGTTAAGAAGAATATGTAGAGTGATTCATCACAATCAGGCATTAGATCCTTAAGATAGTATCCTGTTATCCCCTCCCTTTCCCCCTGAATATTAGTTGGCAATTTTTTAAAATTCATCTGACATTTCTTGCTTTAAATATTTCATTCCTTGAGTTCTACAATTTTGACTCAGATTTACAAGAATGTAAGAAAGGTAATGCTAATAAGGAAAAACAGCTATGTAGTCAAATCTGTACATGTAAAATTGGAGTGTCTGTCTATGAATTAAAAATAACAAACTTTTTGTAATTGCATATGCTTATTTAGGTAATACAAAATCAATTCAATTGTTTTTTAAGTTTTTCCGTTTGCTTGTTTTTACAGGGTAATTTCTTGAATGACAACCAATTTTGTTGCAGTTTTCATTGTAAGGTAGTGTTGTCAAGATTAACTTAAGCTACTTTTTTTTTCTTCCAAATTATTATTTAATCTTATGTAAAGAAGAATGTTTTGTTTTTCAAACAAATCTACTGTTTTATACTGATGACATTTTATACATATGATCTTTAAAATAAGAGAAAAGTTGCTGTCTCCAGGATATTTCATGAAAATTACCACTTTACCCTTTTCCATACCGTTTAGAGCATAATTTAAGAGTGATCTTTCTCAGTGATTTACACATTTAAAGGTACTCATTCAATTTTCTACTAAAATCTTTTAATTCATTCCAATACCATAATTATGCTTATAATAATAGCAGTTAGGAACTGGAAGATTAGGAGTAGTGTATGTAACAATGCATCTGCTGCCAATAGCAATATTGGTGGAAGCAATGATTATCAGAACAAACAAACAAACAAACATGTTCAGGAAGGCCAGGCGAGGCAAGGCAAGGCAGAGCAAGGAAGAAGAAATGGTGATTTTGAATCATGAGGTGCAGAGCAGGGCAGGGTGGAGATACAATATAGATAGAACTGAATTAATTTCTTTTCCTGTAATAGACAATTGTGATAAATAAATACCTGGGCATAGGGCTGGTGCGGGGTATTTCTGCTAGTTTACAATAAGGGGTTTTAAATGTAACAGATACCTTTTGGAAGAGGAATGGTTTGACACAAATAAATAGAATAAATCTAGAAAAATACAATTTTTTATTTGATATCTTTTAATACATTTTTTCTCTTATAAAATATGTGTATTTAATAACTACTTGTCTGTGAAAATAAGTCATGCATTTTGAGGGAACCATGACACATAAGGGCTTGTTTTATTAATCATGGGCAAAGTATAACATAGTTTCCAACTGTCTAGAGCACAGGCATAATAGTGCTGAAATTTATAATTCTAAAAAGAATTTTCATGAACTGATTTCACAAGAGATGTAGCATTCTGGATTGTTGCTTTCATAATGATTTTGAGTTTACTTCTCTCAACAAATTTTAGAACAATAATAATATTGCTTGAACAAATTTTACCATCTCATTGCAGTATTGTGAGAGAACGGGTACTCTTTCTGAACAGAGACATTTTTTAAACCAATGTTTTCTTAATGAAAGGAGATTGTATTTCTGTGTGCCTTACACTGATCATGTTGTAACAATGGATATAGTTTTCTAAGGCAAATGATTTCCTTCATCTGTGATTTCAATTCTAAAGTTTCTCCAGGATATCTGAATTAATGGTAAAAGAGCCATCAGAGAACATTTTTAATTTTCAGTGTCTTTCAGATAGTAGGAGATATTTTGAAGTCAAACCATGATTAATACAGTTAAGATTTTCAATGTAACTGAGAAAATTTGAATATTTCTTCAATCACAAGGCGTTTCATTGGGAAACCTGCATTTCGATGTCTTGAAGTTTATGTACTGGTGGGTGGTCTATAGTTGGTGAGATTCCTTGTATGTACTAGATTTCATTTCTTCATCATGAAAACTTCTTTCTAGCTGCTCAGCAGCATATATTATCCATAGATCAGACTGTTATTTATCAGTATATGTTCAGGCCTCCTACATAATGAGAACAGAGGTTTTTCAATAAGTGTTTAAAATGGTGTGGGTGTTTTGCTTGTTACATGTATAGATTTCAATGCGTAATGTTTATGAATATTACCAAAAGAACATTTTGCAGGAACTAATTTCTCACATCATTTCACGAAAGTCATGACCACATAATAATATTGAAGTTGTAGGACCTACTATATTGGCAACTTTGATCATGGTAAAAGCTCGCGGCTTTAGGAATTTGATCCCTCACAGAATTTGTTTTTCTTTGGGAGACTTTCGTGTCACTGTGCTAGTAATTTGCGACTGTCTCACCGTTTGGCATCTTCAGAGAATTGGCTGATCACATGTGCCGCAAATACTAAAATTTTAAGCATCATTTGTCATGAAATACTGATCATTACAAGGTCTTGTAACATTGTGAAATGCAGGATAGATGTGTAACTTCCTTTGCATAAATACAAAAAGTTTTAGTATGCAGGAGGAACAGCTATGTCACCTCAAAGAGGTTTGTCAAACATTTTTCAGTAAGGCGATCAT